ACGGGGTTTCACCATGTTGACCAGGATGGTCTCGATCTCTTGACCTCGTGATCCACCCGCCTCGGCCTCCCAAAGTGCTGGGATTACAGGCTTGAGCCACCGCGCCCGGCCTAAGACTCTGTCTCAAACAAAACAAAACAAAACAAAAAAATCGAGACAGGGTCTTACTATGCTGCCCAGGCTGGTCTCAAACTCCTGGGCTCAATCAATCCTTCTGCCTCATTCTCCCAAAGTGTTGTCATTTCCCCAACAAGGAACCCTGCTATCCTCCCAATTCTTCCTTCCACCCCCAGCACTAGGTAACCAGTAATATCCCTGTCTCTCTGGATTTTCCCATCTGGGCATTTCATATAAATGGGATCATGCAATATGTGGCCCTTGGTGACTGGCTGCTTGGACTTGGCATAAAGTGTCAGGCTCACCCACATGTGGCCCCTGTCTGTTCTTCATTCCTTTTTACTGCCTTATTGCCCAAGTGTTGTCATAAACACTGCAGGTGAACTGTGAAAAGTTAGGGTGTGCGTTTTAATCCCTAGAACAATTGTTAAAGAAAGCATATATAGCTAAAAACGTAGAGCAAAAAGATACAGCCAAAAAGCCACTAGAGATGAAAGGATACATGAAGAATCACACCATTCATCCAAAAGAAGGCAGGAAAGGAAGAACAAAAAACAAAAGAGAAATAGGCCAGGCACACTGGCTCACTACTACAAATACATTTAAAAAAATTAGCCAGGCAGAGTGGCATACACCTGTAATCCCAGCTACTTGGGAGGCCAAGGCAGGAGAATCGCTTGAATCTGGGAGGCGGAGATTGCAGTGAGCCGAGAACATATCACTGCGCTCCAGCCTGGGCAACAGAGCAAGACTGTCTCAAAAAGAAAAAAAAAAAAGAACACAATTGGCATAAGTTAGAAATTCCATTGAACTGTAAGTGAGCTAAACACTCCAAGTGAGACAGTGAGACTAAATTTTAAAAACACAAACAAAAACATGACCCACCTATATAATGTGTAGAATAGGCATCCTTTAAATACAAAAACACAGCTAAGATGAAAACAACAGGATGAAAAAAGATGTCTATGTAAACATTAGTTATAAGAAAGCTCTATTAACATTAGATAAATAGATAAGTAATATGTGGGCTTCCCACTTCTTTGATGGAACAATTAAAAACTGAGAATATGAGGTTGGTGCAGTGGCTCAGGCCTGTAATCCCGGCACTTAGGGAGGCTGAGGTGGGCAGATCACCTGAGGTCAGGAGTTCAAGACCAGCCTGGCTAACATGATGAAACACTGTCTCTACTAAAAATACAAAAATTAACCAGGCATGATGGTGGGTGCCTTTAACCCCAGCTACTCGAGAGCCTGATGTGGGAGAATGGCTTGAATCTGGGAGGCGCAGGTTGCAGTAAACTGAGATTACACATATACTCCAGCCTGGGTGACAGAGCGAGATGCCATCTCAAAAACAAACAAACAAATATCAGAGAATGGTACACTTTAAATTGCTGCATTTTGTGGTATGTGAATTACACGTCAATTTCTTAAACGGGTGGTAGGAGAAGGAAGGCACTGCAAATGATATTTTGGTTTTGTAATTAAACAAGAGATTTATTCCTCTCTCCCCAAAAAATTCCTTTTTCAGTTTCTGCAAACTTCCTCCTCCCTCCCCTATCCATCCACCCAGAGGAACTTTTCTCTGTTCCCACCCAACCAGATTAGAAGCCTTTGTTTGTCTTTTAATTTGAGGCCTGGTAGGTAAATTAGAGGTCATAAGTCAAGAAAGAGAGGCATCTCAGAGCCCTGTTCCATCTGAGCCTCCCACGCCCCATGACTCACTTTACCCTGTAACACACTTCCCTTCCAATTTACCATCTGAAAGAAAGAATAAACTTATTTTTCTCATTCACCAATAATTTATATAAATCAAAAATTGCAAACAAGGGTGTCCTTAGCAACCTGATTTCATTCTCTTCAAATACCAATTGCTCTCCAGAAAAAGGGATTATCTTTCCAGACAACATAAATTCACTTGGAAATCTCACTTAAAACAGAAAAGTTAAGGTCTTCAAAGGTTTGCCATGGGCAAAGCATTTGCAGGAATGCATGGGGCTGAAGGTCAAAGGCAAAGAAAACAAGGCATCAATTCTTTTGCCTCATTTCGTTTGTCCTTGTACGCCCATGGTTAGTGATTAGTAAGGTCACCTGGCAGTGACAAAAATCTGCTTTTGAAGATTTT